TTTTGAAAAACAAATGCTTGAGCTACGGAAATCCTTACTGGACAGGATAGAAAATCTCCTTGGAGAAAATGAAATCTTAAGGAGGAATCAAAATGAAACACAGAAACTAGTAGAACAGGAAAGAGTGATAGTGAAGAGAAATCAAAATGAAATGAAGAACTCAGTAGATCAAATGACAAACACATTAGAGAGCCTTAAAAACAGAGTCAGTGAGACAGAAGAGAGAATATCGGACTTAGAAGACAGAGAACAGGAAAGTATACAGTCAAACCAAAGAAAAGAAGAGGAAATTAGAAATCTAAAAAATATTGTTGGGAATCTACAGGATACTATTAAAAAAACCCAACATTTGGGTTCTAAGAGTTCCTGAAGGAATGGAGAGAGAGAAAGGATTAGAAAGCCTTTTTAGTGGGATACTAGCAGAGAACTTTCCAGGTTTGGAGAAGGACAGAGACATCCTAGTACAGGAAGCTCATAGAACCCCCAATAAACATGACCAAAAGAGATCCTCACCATGACACATGGTAATCAAACTCACCACAGTGAAACAAAAAGAAAAGATTCTAAAATGTGCAAGAGAGAAATGTCATATTACTCTCAGAGGATCTCCAATTAGACTCACAGCAGACTTCTCAGCAGAAACCCTATAAGCTATAAGGGAATGGCGAGACATAGCCCAGGTACTAAGAGAGAAAAACTGCCAGCCCAGAATATTATATCCTGCAAAGCTATCATTTGTGAATGAAGGTGAAATAAAGACCTTTCACAGCAAACAGAAATTGAAAGACTTTGTGGCCACTCATCCGGCCCTGCAAAAGATGCTTAAAGATGTGTTACACACAGAAACACAGAAACATGGTCATCAATATGAAAGAAGGTAAAGGAAGGAATCTCACAGCGAAAGATCACAGGGAGTTCCAAGCATATATTAGAACTTATCTTTGGCAAATGGCAGGGCAAAGTTACTACTTATCAATAGTCACATTGAATGTTAATGGCCTTAACTGTCCAGTTAAAAGACACAGATTGGCTGATTGGTTTAAGGGACATAATCCATCTATTTGCTGCTTACAAGAAACACATCTTTCCAACAAAGATGCATGCAGACTGAAATTGAAAGGCTGGAAAAATATATACCAAGCCAACAGAAATGAAAAAAGAGCAGGTGTAGCCATCTTAATATCAGACAAAATAAACTTTAACACAAAAACTATTAAAAGAGACAAAGAGGGGCACTATATAACGATTAAGGGATCAATTCACATGAAGATATAATGATTATCAATGTACATGCACCTAATTACAGGGCACTGGTTTATCTAAAAGATTTGTTAACGGACTTAAAGGGAGACTTAGACCCCAATACAATAGTACTGGGGAACTTCAATACTCCACTCTCAGAAATAGACAGGTCAACCAGACAGAAGATCAACAAGGATACAGTAGATTTAAATGACACTATAGCCCAAATGGATCTAACAGATATCTACAGAACTTTTAATCCTACACATAAAGAATTTACATTCTTCTCAGCAGTACATGGAACCTTCTCTAGGACTGACCACATACTAGGCCATAAAGCAAGACTCAGAAAATTCAAAAGAATTAGAATCATGCCATGCAGCTTCTCAGACCATAGGGGAATGAAGTTGGAAATTAGCAACTCAGGAATCCCTAGAGCATATGCAAACACATGGAGATTGAACAACATGCTCCTGAATGAACAATGGGTCATAGAAGAAATCAAAAACTTTCTGAAAATAAATGAGGATAACAGCACAACAAACCAAAACTTATGGGATTCAGCAAAAGCAATGTTAAGAGGAAAGTTTATAGCAATAGGTGCCTACATCAAGAAACTGGAAAGGCACCAAATAAATGAGCTTTCAATTCATCTCAAGGATCTAGAAAAACTGCAGCAAACCAGACCCAAATCTAGTAGGAGAAGAGAAATAATTAAACTCAGAGAAGAAATCAATAGGATTGAATCAAGAAAAATTACAAAAAATCAGCCAAACGAGGAGCTGGTTTTTTGAAAAAAATAAACAAAATTGACACTCCATTGGCCCAACTAACTAAAAAAAGAAGAGAAAAGACCCAATTCCATAAAATCAGAGATGAAAAAGGAAATTTAACAACAGACACCACAGAAATAAAAAGAATCATCAGAAATTACTACAAGGACTTGTATGCCAGCAAACAGGGAACTCTATCAGAAATGGATAGATTCCTGGACACATGCAACCTGCCTAAATTGAACCAGGAAGACATAGAAAACCTAAACAAACCCATAACTGAGACAGAAGTTGAAACAGTAATAAAGGCCCTCCCAACAAAGAAAAGCGCAGGACCGGATGGATTCACTGCTGAATTCTACCAGACATTTAAAGAAGAACTAACTCCAATTCTCCTCAAACTATTCAGAACAATCGAAAAAGAGGGAATCCTCCCAAATTCTTTCTATGAAGCTACCATCACCTTGATCCCTAAGCCAGAGAAAGATGCAGCATTGAAAGAAAATTACAGACCAATCTCCCTGATGAACATAGATGCAAAAATCCTCAATAAAATTCTGGCCAATAAAATACAACACATCAGAAAAATCATCCACCCAGACCAGGTGGGATTTATCCCTTGTATGCAGGGATGGTTCAATGTTCACAAAACAATCAATGTGATACACCACATTAACAGACTGCAGAAGAAAAACCATATGATTATCTCAATAGATGCTGAGAAAGCATTTGATAAAATTCAACACCCGTTCATGATGAAAACTCTAAGCAAATTGGGTATAGAAGGAATATTCCTCAATACAATCAAAGCAATTTATGAAAAACCCACGGCCAGCATCCTATTGAATGGGGAAAAGTTGGAAGCATATCCACTGAGATCTGGTACCAGACAGGGATGCCCACTCTGACCACTTCTATTCAACATAGTTCTGGAAGTCTTAGCCAGAAACATCAGGCAAGAAAAAGAATTAAAGGGATACAAATTGAGAAGGAAGAACTCAAACTATCCCTCTTTGCAGATGATATGATTCTTTATTTAGGGGATCCAAAGAACTCTACTAAGAGACTATTGGAACTCATAGAAGAGTTTGGCAAAGTAGCAGGATATAAAATCAATGCACAAAAATCATCAGCCTTTGTATACACAGGCAATGCCATGGCTGAGAAAGAACTTCTAAGATCAATCCCATTCACAATAGTTACAAAACAATCAAATACCATGGAATAAACTTAACCAAGGGCGTTAAAGATCTCTGTGATGAAAACTACAAAACCTTAAAGAAAGAAATAGAAGAGGATACCAAAAAGTGGAAAAATCTTCCATGCTCATGGACTGGAAGAATCAATATCATCAAAATGTCCATTCTCCCAAAAGCAATTTATACATTTAATGTGATACCAATAAAAATACAGAAGACATTCTTCTGAGAACTGAAAAAAATGATACTGAAATTCATATGGAGACATAGGAGACCTCGAATAGCTAAAGCAATCTTGTACAACAAAAACAAAGCCGGAGGCATCACAATACCAGATTTCAGGACATACTACAGGGCAGTTGTTATCAAAACAGCATGGTACTGGTACAGAATGGATACATATCGATAGACCAATGGAACAGAATAGAAACACCAGAAATCAATCCAAACATCTACAGCCAACTTATATTTGATCAAGGATCCAAAACCAATCCCTGGAGTAAGGACAGTCTATTCAATAAATGGTGCTGGGAAATTGGATATTTAAGTGCAGAAGCATGAAGCAAGACCCCTACCTTTCAGCTTACACAAAAATTCACTCAACATGGATTAAAGATCTAAATCTACGATCTGACACCATCAAGGTACTAGAGAACATTGGAGAAACCCTGCAAGAAATAGGTACTGGCAAAGACTTCTTGGAAAACACCCCGGAGGCACAGGCAGTCAAAGCCAAAATTAACATTTGAGATTGAATCAAATTGAGAAGTTTCTGTACTTCAAAAGAAACAGTCAGGAAAGTGAAGAGGCAACCGACAGAATGGGAAAAAATATTTGCAAACTATGCAACAGATAAAGGGCTGATAACCAGGATCTACATAGAAATCAAGAAACTTCACAACATCAAAATAAACAACCCACTTAAGAGATGGGCCAAGGACCTCAATAGACATTTTTTAAAAGAAGAAATCCAAATGGCCAACAGACACATGAAAAAATGTTCAAGATCACTAGCAATCAGGGAAATGCAAATCAAAACCACAATGAGGTTTCACCTCACCCCAGTTAGAATGGCTCACATTCAGAAATCTACCAATAGATGCTGGCGAGGATGTGAGGAAAAAGGGACACTAACCCACTGTTGGTGGGAATGCAAACTGGTAAAGCCGCTATGGAAGTCAGTCTGGAGATTCCTCAGAAACCTGAATATAATCCTACCATACAACCCAGCCACACCACTCCTTGGAATTTACCCAAAGGAAATTAAACTGGCAAAGAAAAAAGCTGTCTGCACCTTAATGTTTATTGCAGCTCAATTCACAATAGCTAAGGCCTGGAACCAACCCAAATGCCCATCAACAGTAGACTGGATAAAGAAATTATGGGACATGTACTCTATAGAATACCATACATCAGTCAAAAACCATGAAATCCAGTCATTTGCAACAAGATAGAGGAATCTGGAAAACATTATGCTGAGTGAATTAAGCCAGTCCCAAAGGGACAAATATCATATGTTCTCCCTGATCAGCAACAACTAACCAAACACCAAAAAGCAAACCTGTTGAAATGAAATGGACACTATGAGAAACAGTGACGTGATCAGCCCTTGTCCTGACTGTCAATGAACTTAATACTTTATCCCTTTTAGTATTTCTTTTTTTTCTCGTTGTTCTACTTAACAATATTGGTTGAACTTTTCAATTACACGCAATTATTATTATGTATTTAAATTTAACTGAAATGTGATCCCTCTTGGAAATAAGAATGCGAATTAGAGAGGGAGGAAATGTACAGTTCAGGACATGCTCAATTGGACTTGCCCCAAATGGTGGAGATAGAAATGTGCCAGGGGATTCCAATTCAATCCCATCAAGGTGGCATGTACCAATGCCATCTCACTAGTCAAAGTGATCAATTTCAGTTCACAATTGATCACACTGATAGGTCTAAGAGTCAAAGGAATCACACAAACAAGACTAGTGTCTGCTAATACTAACTGATAGAATCAAAAAGGGAGAGAATGATCCAACATGGGAAGCGGGATACACAGTAGACTCATAGAATGGCAGATGTCCTAAACTGCACTCTGGCCTCAGAATCAGCCCGTAATGCATTCGGATCTGTCTGAAGAGCCCATGAGAGTATTTCAGGCATGGAAAGCCAAGACACCCTGGAAAAAAAAACCTAAATGAAAGATCTCTGTGAGTGAGATCCCAGTGGAAAGAATGGGGCCATCAAAGAAGGAGGTACCTTTCTCTGAATGGAGGAGAGAACTTCCACTTTGGCTATGACCCTGTCTGAATAAGATCGAAACTGGTGAACTCAAAAGGCCTCCATAGCCTTGGCAACTCATGACTAGAGCCTAGGGAGATTACTGACACCATAAACAAGAGTGTCAAATTGTTAAGTCAACAACAGGAGTCACTGTGTACTTACTTCTCATGTGGGATCTGTCCTTAATGTGTTGTCCAATGTGAAGTAATGCTATAACTAGTACTGAAACAGTATTTTACACTTTGTGTTTCTGTGTGGGTGCAAACTGATGAAATCTTTACTTAATGTATACTGAATCGATCTTCTGTATATAAAGATAATTGAAAATGAATCTTGATGTGAATGGAATGGGAGAGGGAGCAGGAGATGGGAGGGGTGCGAGTGAGAGGGAAATTATGGGGGGAAGCCATTGTAATGCATAAAATGTACTTTGGAAATTTATATTTACTAAATAAAAGTTAAAAAAAATTTGAGTTGAGGCAGGTTATATTTATGCGACTTGGTGTATCTGAAGTCACATAGTGTGGATAAATACTGTCTGTTTCCCCAGCCAGTCTTGTGTGCTACTTGTCTGGTCTAAGCATTTTTCTGGGTTCAGTACTTTCCTGCAAGGTGATATTAATTTGTGTATATTGTTTACTTCTTCTAGTGAGTCTTCTGTATTGGATCTTTGTCAGTTTCTGGACACTAATGAATTTCATGGCAAGATTTCTTTTCTACTTTACACCACACCACTATCACACAGCTCAGGGGTTCAGGATACTGCTTATTTGCTAAATGGCTACTTATTTCCACTGTCACTACACCAGCCTTTTCAAGTTGGCTTTCAAGTCAAAGGAAGGAACTTTATTTAATAGCTGTATTGAAGTAAATTGATATACAATAAGCTGCATGCATTTAAAGTGAACAACTGAATTTTAAAATATGTATAGACCAATGAAGTCATCATTGCATTGAGATAGTGGATATTTCCAGCATCACTGAAGGGTTCCTTGTGCCCCAATCATTCTCCACAATTCACAGGCAACCACAAACCTCCTTTTTCTTTTAATATCTATCTATCTATAAGGCAGAGTGACAGAGAGAGGGAGAGACAAAGACAGAGCTCTTTTGTCTGCTGGTTCATTCCCCAAATGCCTGCAACACCAGGGATAGACCAGGCTGAAGCCAGATACCAGGAACTTCATTTGGATCTTCTACATGGCTGGTACCCAACAATTAGACCTTCATCTGGCTTCCTCCCAGGTCAACTGCAGGAAGCCGATCAGCAGCAGAGGTGAAATTCGATCCCAGGCTCTCTAACGTGCACAATGTGAGCTTCCCAAGCAGTGGTTTAACCCACTGCACCACAGTGCCTACCCCGATCTTTCTGCCACAATATATTAGTATTTTTCTTCTTTTAGAATTTTAAATAAATGGAATCATGTACCACTTTATATTTTTGAAAATCTGGCGCTCAACAAAAATTATTTTGAGATTCATCCATGTTGTTGCATATATAGTTTGTACTTTCCTTTTTCTCCTTCTTTTTTATAATAGCGTTCTGTTGTAGGAATGTACTTCAAAGAGCACATGGAAATATAATTAAAAGGTAAGTTATTTTGGTACAAAAAACTTTGAAATCCATGTATATGTATGGTTTTTAAAAAGTTCATGGAAATGTATTTATGAAAAAATATGCATGGCTTTCAAATTTTTGCATCAAAATAAACATCGTATAATTTCATTTCCTAAAATCTTTTTTTAAAGATTTAATTTATTTATTTGAAAGACAGAGTTACAGAGAGATATAGAGACAGAGAGGTCTTCTATCCGCTGGTTCACTCCCCAGATGGCCACAATGGCCGGAGTTGTGCCAATCTGAAGCCAAGAGCCAGGAGATTCTTCTGGGTCTCCCACGTGGGTACAGGGGCCCAAGCACTTGGGCCATCTTCTACTGCTTTCCCAGGCCATAGCAGAGAGCTGGATTGGAAGTGGTTCAGCCGGGACTAGAACCGGCGCCCATATGGGATGTCAGCACTTCAGGCCAGGGCTTTAACTCACTGTGCCACAGCGCTGCCCCCTCTAAAATCTTTTAAAGTATCCTCATATAATATACCATGACTTGTTTAACCATTAACCTATTGGTCAACATCTGAGCTGTGTATGATTTTTTGGCTTTACAAATGAAGATGCTAGAAATAGTCATGTGCTAGTCTTTAGGTGGACGGATACTTTTTCTTGGGTAAATATCCAAAAATAGACTTACCGAGTCATAGGGTTTTCTACAGAGATTGCTTTTTACATTCCTAACAATGTATGGGACCTCCAGTTGCTCCAGATCCATGTCAGCACTTGGTTTGGTCTTTTAAATTTTAACTATCCTAGTGGAGTTATATTGGTGTGTCTCATTTTCATTTTAATTGTGTTATCTTAAAGACAAATGATGGTGAGCATATTTCATGCTCTGCTTTGCTCTCTGTAAGTTTCCTTGATGAAACATCTGTTTATATATATTTTTTACTTAAAAAATTAGTCATCTGTCTTATTAAATACCTTTTATATTCTAGATATAAGTCCTTTTTTTGGATATATGTTTGAGATAATTTCTCCTTTAAGTGACTTTTTGAAGCGTGTACTTTTAAATTTTGATAAAGGCAAATATATAAGTATGAATATTTTCTTTAATAGCTCATATTTTGTGTCATATTATGAAGTTTGTTTCACCACAGTCATTGGTGTTTCCTTTAGAACTTTTTTTAAAAAGATTTATCTTATTTATTTGAAAAGCAGAGTTACAGAGAGAGGTACAGACAGAGAGAGAGGTCTTCCATCTGCTGGTTCACTAACCAGAGGCTGCAAGGGCCGGAGCTGTGGGAGCTGGTCCGATCTGAAACCAGGAACCAGGAGCTTCTTCCGTGTCTCCCACATGGGTGCAGGGGCCCAAGCGCTTGGAACATCTTCTGCTGCTTTCCCAAGCCATAGCAGAGAGCTGGATCAGAAGAGGAGCAGCCAGGAATCGAACCGGCGCCCATATGGGATGCTGGTACCACAGGCAGAGGATTAACCTACTATGCCACAGTGCTGGCCCCTTTCCTCATTTTTTATTCTTTTTGTTCCTCAGACTCATAATCACCACTGACCTATCTTCAAGTTTCCTGATTCTTTCTTCTCTCAGCTAAAACTACTGTTTAATTCATATGGTGATTTTGTATTGTACTTTTCAATTCTAAAAATTCTATTTGGTGCTTTTTAAAAATTTATTTAAATTATACAAGTTTCATATATTTCATATATACAGATTAGGAACACAGTGACAATGCTCCGTTTACCCTCCCTCCAACCCTTCCTTCTCCTCCCTCTCACATTCCACTCAATTTTTTTTTAAAGATTTTATTTACTTATTTGAGAGGTAGAGTTACAGACAGTGAGAGGTAGAGACAGAGAGAGAGGTCTTCCTTCCATTGCTTCACTCCCCAGATGGCTGCAACAGCCAGAGCTGCGCTGATCTGAAGCCAGGAGCTAGGAGCTTCCTCCCGGTCTCCCATGTGGGTGCAGGGCCCAAGCACTTGGGCCATCCTCCACTGCTTTCCCAGACAACAGCAGAGAGCTGGATTGGAAGAGGGGCAGTCAGGGCTAGAACCAGCACCCATATGGGATGCCAACACTGCAGGCAGAGGATTAACCTACTGCGCCACGGTGCTGGCCCCCCCACTCAATTTTTATAAAAACCTGCTTTCAGTATACTTAGTGATCATATGTAGTTAACCCTACTCTAATTAAAAGAGTTCAACAAATAGTATGAAGAGAAAAAAAAAAAATAAAACACTGTTCCTTAACAGGAGAGACGAGGGCTATAAACAATCACTGAATCTCAAAAATGTCTATTTCACTCCAGTACATTACATTTCAGGTGCTCTATTACATTGGATCAGGGAAAACATATGATATCTGTGTTTTTGGGGCGGGCTTATTTCACTAAGTATAATGGTTTCCAGTTGTGTCCATCTTGCAAAAGACAGGATTCGTTTCTTTTCTTTCTTTCTTTTTTTTTTCTATAGTTGATTAGTACTCTGTAGTGTATGTATACCATAGTTTCCTTATCCAGTCAACAGTTGATGGACATCTGAGTTGATTCCATATCTTAGCTATTGTGAATTGTGCTGCAATGAACACTATTTGGTGCTTTTTAAATTTGTTTCCATTTACAATCATTTCTATTTAATGAGACATTGTTTTTTTTTTTTTTCTTTTTTGACAGGCAGAGTGGACAGTGAGAGAGAGAGACAGAGAGAAAGGTCTTCCTTTGCCGTTGGTTCACCCTCCTATGGACGCCGTGGCCGGCATGCTGCGGCCAGCGCACTGCACTGATCCGATGGCAGGAGCCAGGTGCTTCTCCTGGTCTCCCATGGGGTGCAGGGCCCAAGCACTTGGGCCATCCTCCACTGCACTCCCTGGCCACAGCAGAGAGCTGGCCTGGAAGAGGGGCAACCGGGACAGAATCCAGCGCCCCGACCTGGACTAGAACCCAATGGGCCGGCACCGCAAGGCGGAGGATTAGCCTAGTGAGCCGCAGTGCCGGCTCGAGACATAGTTTTTATACTTTTCTTTGACCAATTAACATGGCATCTTTTATTTTAAAAATTTATTTATTTTAAATTTCTTTAAAAGACAGGGAGACAGAACAAGACAGAGACAGACATAAACCTTCTGGCTGCTGATTTACTCCCTAAATGCCCAAAGCACCTAGGGCTGGGCCGGGCCAAAGCCAGAAATCCAGAACCCAATCTGGGTCTCCCATGTGGGTGGGTGGGACCCAAGCATTTGAGCCACCACCTCTGCCCCCCAGCATGTGCACTAACAGGAAACTGGAATCAGAAGCAGAACTGGGACTCAAAACCAGCATTGGTTTTGGTTTAAACCTGACAAATAAAACTGTGTCTATTTATCATGTAAATATGATGTTTTGAAATATGTGTGCATTGCAGAATCACTTGATCTAGCTAGCTTTACAAAAATCCTTATGGTTGGTCTTTGTTTCTTGACGTTCCTGGACAAGTTCTGTATATTCTGTATTTACTGAAATGTGCAGCATCTGAGTTCTCTGGTTCTCTGATCACTATTTAAAAATTCTTGTCTTTATCCTCAAGATTATCTTCTTAGGGACCAGTCCTTGGTCAGCATTGTTTAGTGATCAGACATTGATTTTTAAAAAGGGGGGGGAGGGCCAGCGCTCTGGCACAGCAGATAAAACCTGCCACCTGTATGGGCTCCGGTTCTAGTCCTGGCTGCTCCACTTCCGATCCAGCTCTCTGCTGTGGCCTGGGACAGCAGTAGAAGATGGCCCAAGTGCTTGGGCCCCTGCACCCACGTGGGAGACCCAGAAGAAACTCTTGGCTCCTGGCTTTAGATCAGCTCAGCTCCCACAGCTCTGGCCATTGTGATCATCTGGGGAATGAACAAGCAAATGGAAGCGCTCTCTCGCTCTCTCTCTCTCTCTCTCTCTCTCTCTCAGCCTCTGCTTCTCTGTAACTCTGCCTTTCATATAAATAAATAAATCTTTTTTTAAAAAGACTGCCTTAGTGTCTTGACGCACTATGTCATCTGCCTTTTGCCACGGCGATTTGTGAGAAGGCACATCTTCAAATCTGAGGCAGTCTGCCTTAGCGTTCACATCTTACTGCACAGGGCTGAAAGGTTTCCAAATATGAATGACTGGGGCCCCCTCTGGTTTTCCCTGGCCCTGTGTAGTATGTGCAGCCTTCTAGATCACCAGGAACATGTCAGAGCTTAAAGCTCCCTGCGGTCATAATTTCTGTTTTCCAAAGTTTCCTCTCGGGCTTCTGACCAGGGTCTTGGTTATAGGCTAAATTCTACCTCTGCATCCCCTCCAAATAAAAGTCATATGGTGACATGCTAACCCCTCCTAATACTCCTACTGTGACTGTATTTGGAAACAGTCTCTGAAGAGGTAACTAAACAGAAACGCAGTCATTCTAGCTGGCCCTAATCCGACATGATTGCTCCTCTTCTAAGAAAAGGAAATCTGTAAGAGACATGCCCGTGGGGAAGACGATGCAAAGACAGTGATCTTCAAGTCAAGCAAACAGTGTCAAAATATTGACAGTGCTCGGAGAGTGAGGCTTCTCACAAAGCTTCAAACAGGTCAATCCCCTTCGGCGGCTTCCAGCGCTTCACAGCTGGACCCTGGTGCTGCTGCGGTGTGCGGGTGGGAATAGCTCTGAGTTAAAACGCCACAGATCCCCACTCTCCTTACGAAATGCAACGATTTTCTTGAAGGAATGCTTTCCAATATGGTTTTTACCTTTAGTTAATTTCCATAACTTTAAAATACTTGACTTGCAACTCAAAATAGATTAAAAACCTAAATGTAAGACTTGGAATGTTGAAACTAATAGAAGAAAACATAGGGAAGATGCTTCAAGACATTGGCACGGGTAAGGATTTCTAGCACCAAACCCCAAAGGCAAGGAAACAAGCAAAAATAGACAAATGGGATATTATCAAAGTAAAGAGCCTTGTACTGCAAAGGAAGCACTCGGCAAAGAGACGGCCTGCAGAATTTGAGAAAATATTTACAATTTTTACATCTGGCAAAGAGTTAATAACCAGAATACATCTTCTCAAACAACTCAATAGCAATAAGTAAATAATTTTAAAATGATTAGCAGATTTACACAGACATTTCCCAAAGGAAGACACACAGATGGCCAGCAGGTATGTGAAAGGACACTCAGCATCACTATCCATTAGGGAAATGCAAATCAAAACCGCAGTGAATTACTGTCTCACCCCAGTTAGAATGGCTCTCATCAAAAGGACAAAAGATAACAAATATTGTGAAGATGCAGAGAAAAGGGAACCCTTGCACACTGCTGGTTGGAATGGAAATTAATATGGCAACTGTGGAAAACATGATGGCAGTTCCCCCAAAAACCAAAAAGTAGAACTACCGCATGATCCAGCAATTGAAATCAGTTTATTGACAAGATAACTGCACCCCTATGTTTATTGCAATAGCTAAGAATGGAAACAACCTAAGTGTACATCCACTGACAGATGGATAAATAAAATGTGGTACATATGCACAATGGAATATTATTCAGCCATAAAATAGGATGAAGCCCTTCTTTTTGAATTTTTTTAAAGATTTATTTGAAAGGCAGAATTAGAGAGAGAGACAGAGAGAGAGAGAGAGAGAGAGAGAGGTCTTCCATCCACTGGTTCACTCCCTAAATGGCTGCTATGGCCAGGGTTGGGCCAGGCCAAAGCCAGGAGCCAGGAGCTTCATCCAGGTATCTCACATGTGTGGCAGGGACCCAAACACTTGAGCTACCTTCTGCTTCTTTTCCTAGGCCACTAGCAGGAAGATGGAGAACAAGTGGCCAGCAGGGACCTGAAGTTGTACACATACGGGATGCCTGCATTAAAAATGCCAGCTGTACCAGCTACACCATAATGCCAACTCCCTTCTTTTTGTCCATAAAAATGTATTTAAAATATTGTTTTAATGTCCTTGTATAAGACATCTAAAATCTGCATAGTTATTGAATCTGTTTTTAATTAATGATTTTTTTCTTTTTAATATGGGTTGTATTTCCTGCTTCTTATGTCTGATAACTTTTGTTCAGTACCAATAAATCTTGATTTATTCATTATATTTTCCAAGGCAAAGGAGAAAACATGGGGAGAATCAGCATATGTATTACAAAGTGACTAGAAAGTGGGTAAGGAAGTACCCAATACAGCAACAATGAACCTTCAAATAAACACACCCCAGTGATGGGGTCTCCAAAGCCCAAGGAGCTTAGTATCCTGCAGTTCGGCAACGAGGGGAAGGGGTCAGAGAAAGAACAGACACGCAGCCCCCCACCCCCACCCCATGAACTCAAGATTCCACACACAGCTTTGGTTTCTAGCAGTGAAGGGAGTGACAGTCACCCGTCTCCTATCAAACAGTCTTGTGGTCGCTTTGACAGAAGTTTCTCGCACCTGCTTAAAAGCTCCTGCGTGACTTGGATGCACATTCATCATCTCCTCCTTGGTCTCCACACCCCACTTTGCACACAGAAGTTTCCCAGTAGCACCTCTTCTTTAGGAGACAATTGAGGGGACTGATCCATCCCAACACATCAGTGTGGTAAGCCTTTGGCACGAATCACATCAGGAAGTGGTCTTGAATCAGGAGGCTGGGAACGAGGGGTGGAGGTTTCCCATTTTCTTCAGGATTGTTGCATGAATCCTTTAGATGTGTGGAGACACTCCAAGAATTAGATGTTCATGTGTGGGTTTACTTTTGTGGATGGAGGGATGGAGAACAGATAGGGTAGGAGTCAAATTTTAAGGACAGAAGGTTCAAAATAGGATAGAGGAAGGGGAACACAAAAGAAAAGATGGTTTAAGATCCCCATTCAAGAAGTGAGCTCCCCAAAACTCATGTTTCAGAGCCTTTTGCCTGGTGCAGACTCTTCTGCCCAAGGTGTTTCAGCTGTTTTTCTCTCAAAACACAGAGAAGTTTGTGAACAATAAAACCACAAAAGAACATGGAGAAAGACCCACATGCTACATTTACACAAACTGGGCCACCTAGCAATCACCAACTCAGAGTCTCAGTGAAGTCCTACAAAGCCGAGACAAATACAGTAACCAAAGGGGGAGACGGGAACCCAGGACCAGACACACATCACCCAGTGCATTCTACTGCGTTTGTCCCTTATCAACACAGGGAGGTAGGTTTGCAGTGACCTCTCAGCATGTAATTGAAACCCCCTTTTTCTCCTTTAATCACTGCACTAGTAATCACTGCTTGTCACAGGGTGGGCCACTGGCTCCGGACACCACCAAGCTCTCCCTGGAAGCCAAGAATTTGGGAAGGTTAAGGATTTTAGTCCTTGTTTCATGTTTCTATTCCTGGACAGCACAGAATGGGTTCAGGGGTATTGGTCTTCAAACGCATCCTTACCAGCTCACATTTTTCACACACACACACACACACACACACACACACAGTTGTGCATAGTGGCCTAATCCGATGAAGACTGGATCTGCTATATGAAGCAAAAGTGGCAGTTGGGACAGTTCCCAGCACCCTGTCCCAGGATGGAGTTTTGAGAACACAAGATGTGGAAAACCCTGCCTACTCCTGAGAGAGTCCCTCCCACATGATGTAGTGGTTTGGGGGTTGGGTCCAGTTCTGGTCCCACAACCCATCTTTTCATCCTGGTGAGGGGAATATTATTCCATGTCCTTCTTTGAAAGGAAAACAACTTTCCCATCCAGGGACCTCCTAAAGCTGGAGGTTTTGCATACAAGGTCTCAGACAAAGCATGCAGGCTACAGGGTGATGTCCCCAACCCCTTATTTGCATTTGGATGCAGCATGGCTGGAATTCCTTGCCTCACTCCTTCCTCCCAGCAAGACGGTTAAAGGGGTGATGCTGTGAGCCCCAATCTGAGACACACGGCAGTGCCAGCTCCCCCCAGCCCACCCTGCCCCCACTTTCTCCACTCCTCTCTTGAAGCCTGCTCCTTGAAACTTCCCGATAGCACAAGAACAGCCCCCAGCCACTCCACTCTGGGTCGCGGGGAGCAGGGCAGGGCTGTGGCCCTCTTCTTCATCCTCCGGGAAGTAGGCTGGCTTCCCCCTGGGAGGTGGGGGCCTGCCGGGCCTTCCGGGGCACGAGGCCACCATAGGGCTGGCGCTCTGGCAGAAGTGGGTGAGGGAGGCAGCTTGCACTCCTTGGCACGATGGGCTAGACCGCCACAGTTGTAGCACCTGTCTCCTTTAGAGCTGCGCTTCTGCGTGTTCCTCCCCTTTAGCCGCCGCTGGTTCCCAGTACAGACCCCCTTACCCCCAGGCCTGGGGACACGCATGGACTCGAGGCCCCTGGTGGACTTCTTAGGGTGAATTCCACTGCTTCACTCTCCTTCAGGCTCCGGAAGCCCTCCGTGTGCAGCTTACTCTGGTGCACAAAGAGGTCCACCGTTGCGGGAAGGGGTGGGTGTGGGGGCGTTGAGAGAGACCCCAACGCGGGTGGTCATGGACCAGAAGCCTAACCCCTGGTGCGCGCTGAACCGCTTTCAGATCCAGCACGGTGCAGCAGCTGCGACTCGTCCATGGCCCCAGGCTGCGTCCTCCAGTGCCTTTACCGCCGCCTTGGTGCAGCCACCCGCATACTGCTGGTCCCACGCGGAACCCATGCTCGCCAGCAGAGCCCGTGGCCTCGGGCCCGAGTCAGGCGGCTGCTTCTCCTCAGAGAAGTCCAGAGGCAAAGGGGGCCGTTCGGAAAAGAGGTAGCTACATCTTTCCCCGCACCTGTGTCTGATAATTTTTTAATCGGTGGCAGAGATCATGAATTTTACAGTGGATGACTGATGAGGTTTTTTTTTTTTTTTTTAATATTCCTCAGTATTTTTTGGTCTTTGCTCTTGAACACAGTTAAGCTACTCAGAAATATTTTGACCTTTCAAAGGTAAGGTAAGCTTTATCGGGTAGGTCCAGAGCTGCCTTTTGCCTACTGTTAATTTTGCCTCTCTACCAAGGCAATGCTAACCTGATGAGCCTGCCTTCTCTGTGGTAGGCGTTCTTTGTGCTCTGATTGGTGAGGACTCCAATCGCTCCAGCTCTGTGAGCTCCAGAGATTACTCTCCTTGGTCGCCTCCAGTGAGGTTGCCAGGGCCTTATGTTCTGAGTCGCCTTCTGCTGAAGAAGGGGGGATCTTTGTGGATCTGTGATGTTCTCTGTTTATGAGTCTGTCCTCTCCAGGACCCTGGCACACAAATTCTAGCTGACTCGGTCTCCCCAAACTCTGAATGTTGTCTCTTCAACAACAGGAGACCACTGGGCTCTGCTGGTGTACTGCTTCCTGTGCTCTGGCCTTGAAACCCTTCCACGCAGTGATCTGGGGCATTCATAGTTTTATTTCACTTGTTTCCCTTCTCTTGGCGATCCCTGTCCCATCGCATGTATTGCTTAATATCTGAAACTACTTTTTTCTCGCTTCTTTTTCAATCTTTTATATAGGTTGGCATGACGACAAATCTGGTTGCTTATATTTTGGAAGCAGAAATCTAAAAGCCAGAGGCTTAACATGCACAGGTGGTCACCGAGACTGGTAGTCAAGAGGTTTGACAAGAAAGTAAAGAGCCAGGAACTTTGCTTGTGCACTTAAATGAAAAGAGAATTGAATTATCAATCCTCCACCTGGATACAATGTTCAGAAATTCCAACAACAGGAGTGTGGTTAGAACTCAAACTCAGGTCTGTGACTACAAAGGCTAAGTGTGTACTGAGAATTATGAATTACCAGAAACTTAGAAGCTTAGAACAACAGAAGTTTATCTCGTGTCTCGGGAGGTCATAAATCCAATCACAGCTTGGCTTGGTTGGTTTGTTGACAGCGTCTCCATAGACCAGAATCAAATCGTAGTGGCAGCTGGGCTGTATTCATTTCCGAAGCTGCTACAGGAGAATCCCTTTTTGAGGCGCCTTCCTGTTGTTGGGAGGACTCGGTTCTGTTTGTTTGGAACATAGACCTTATTTCCCATCTGGCTGTCAGCCAGGGCTCATTCTCAGTTTCTAGAGGTTGCCTGTGTTCCCTTGCTTCTGTCCCCTTTAAAGACAGCTACAGAAGACTGAGCATCTTGTGATCTGAATCTCTCTGTCTCTGTTCCTTCTACCTTATCTCTTCTCATGCTAGCTGGAGCGGTCTGCTTTTAAGGGCTCCAATGATTAGACCTGGCTGACCCAGACAGTAACCTATATAAGGTTTATAGTCTTAAGTACTTTGGCAAGTCACTTTTGTATGTAACATAACATATTCTCAGGATCCAGGTAGTAGGGTATGGGTCTCTTTCTGGGGATGGAGCAGAGTACATTATTTAGTCTCCCATACCAGTGTGCAGACTCAAATCCCCACCCTCTCCTTGACCTTCACGCCTGAAGACAGATGAATAAGCCACTGTTTCTGCCCCTGAGAACTTGGACTTTCTCATCCCTGTTTTGTTAGGTGGCTTCACCTTGGGAACTGAGAAATAAGCAGATGCCAAACACAGTCCCAAAATACCAGAGGTGAAGGGGTGTTAGCACCTAGTCTGGTACTACTTTGCTGATGAGAAAATTAATGTCCAGGTACAGGAAGCTGCTTTGACTAGATAACAGAGCTGAACATTTGCTGTGGGTCCCCTAATCTTTTCCCAATTATCTATTTATTTTATTTTAATTAGAATGCAGAGTTACACAGAGAGAAACAGATCTTCTATCTGCTGGTTCACTCCCCAAAAGGCTTCAATAGCCAAGGCTGTGCTGGCCAAAGCCAGGTGCCTGGAACTCCATCTGGATCTCCCATGTGGGTGGCAAGGGCCCAAGCACTTGGGTCATCTTCCATTGCTTTCTCAGGCAGATTAGCAGGAAGCTGGATTGGAAGTGGAGGATGCTGAAGATTATCCAGCTATACCACGATGCCAGCTACTGCCAAATTTTTTATTTATTATATCTCTCTGGGAATTTATTTAACTCTTTCTAAGCTTCAGCTTCTCATATCAAAATGGAAATATAATATTTAAAGGTATTGTGAGAATTAAAGGAAGCAAATTTATGTAAAACATTTGGTATATACTGTATGTTGCATTTAGCAGGTGCAGAAATATTAATTGTTATTACTGTTATCAGTCTCATATTAATATTCCATAAGTCAAGGCTGCATCAACACATGGGCCCTTCTTTTGATTGAGTCGATTCAGTTAACTGAATAATTTAATTATGGTAATTGTGAATCTGAGACTTGTGCGTTATATCACTACTTTTTCCAACATGATACTTTTCTACTTGACTGATTTGCAAGTTCTACCACCTTGAGTGAATTTTTATTTTAAGGCGATAAAGCAGCATGTAATCACATTTCATTCTTGATTTAAATAAGTCTGGTCTTTAATTCACTCCCAAGACGAATGTTTATTGAGTGTCAATTATGAGCCAGGGAATATATAGAGAAGTGAACAAAAGAGACATGTTCTTGCTCACACAGAGGTTATTCACTGGGGAGAAACTAATTGTCAATGAATAAACAAATCTAAATATCATTATAAATTCTTGAAGGAAAATAATAGGACGCTACAAGAAGTTTTTTTAAAAGACTGTGTTGGATTTGTGGTCAGAGGTCTTTTCTGAGAAGTGATACTCAAGCTGAGACCAAAGGACGAGAGGGAACAGACTGTGCGGAGAGTGTTCATATGTTTGGTCATGGAGATGGAAATAAACACAGAAGTTTGAAATACACTTGAGAGAGAGAACCAGCAGAATTTGTAGAAGAATTTCATAGAGGCAGGGGATGAAAGATGAGAAGGCCCAGGTTTCTAAAGGGAGTAAAGGAGTATTGTAAGATGGAAATTTAGAGGCAGAAGTCTAATTTTATCAACTACTTGTCATGTTATTTGCAGTCTCATAAGATATTTGGCTAGTGTCAGAAGATACCTTCCTATCTGAAATTATTGATAATGAAATATATTTTCATTTTCTTGTGAAAATATGTTCAGAACGTATAGTTATATATCAAAAAAGCAGATACAACTGTAAAAGATACAATTTTAAAGATGGATCATAAGTATTTCTTTTATGGGAGAGAAATATGCCTGTTGCTTACAAGTAGAGCTGGTAGAGATGATGGATAGAAAACAGGATTTGAGTCAAGCTGGAGAAATATGGAGGGAAAGCAATATATTTAAAGAGAAGTGGGGTCAATGGCCTAACAGAGAGACTTAATATGTTTTGGTCTATATTCATCGCTCCATTAATCACTGCTTAATTTAATCTTTACAAAAACTCAGTAATCCAAGAATTATCCTATGTTACACATGAGCAAACTGAGGATTATAGAAGCTAAGTAGAGTGTCCCAGGTCAAGGTTAACAAGGACCAGAAAACAAATAGTTTAGGCTTTGGGATCTATAGAGACCCTCTGCCAACTACTCAGTACTGCCACTGCAGCAAGGGGACAGTCATACACAACAAAGAAATTAATTGGTGAGGCGTGATACAATAAAGCTTTATAAAAATAGGTAGTGTGCTGGATTTGGCTGCTGACCACTGACTTACACAAAAGAGACGGGACACTTAAAAAGTCTTTACAGAAATCTATCAAGAAAACACTTTCAGATGTAAGCTAATGAGCTCTCACAATTCCTAGATTTTGTGATTGCAATGTTGCAGCCTAGCACACATTGGTTGTTTATGGGAAAGCAGAATGGGAAGCAACTAATTTAAAATCTTAAAGTAATCCAGAAACATCACACTACTCAACAGCTTCAAATTTTGTCTTTCTCTCAACATTTTACTGAAGGTAATGGGTATAAAACTGAATAACATAAATTTGTCCTTTTATTTTGTATTTTCTTTATCTGGGAATGAGTTGACCTCAAGCAGCATGAAGGAAAATGCCAAGATGCAGAGGGATGGTCACAGATTTAAGAAGATACAGGATACCACTGTGTTCTTTTTTTATGTTCTTAGAATTTTATCTATGAACTACATGAAACCTGTTCTAACAATAATAATAACAACAACAATAAAATTTCTGAGACTTCTAGATTGGTAGTCCATCATAATTAGTACTAAATAATCAGCAGTTTCTTGTATCAAATGGGATGCTTGCTGAATTCATTTTCTATTGGAATAACAGATTATCTGAGATTTACAGTATGAACACACATTTTTTTAAATCTCATAACACTGTGGGTCAGAAATCTGGGTGCAACAAGACTCAGCTGAAGACAAGGTGCCATGTGGGCTGAATTTTGATCTAGAGACTCTAGAGAAGATTACACTGGCTGGTGCCGCAGCTCAATAGACTAATCCTCCGCCTGCAGCGCCGGCACCCTGGGTTCTAGCCCTGGTCGGGGTGCTGGATTCTGTCCCGGTTGCCCCTCTTCCAGGCCAGCTCTCTGCTGTGGCCCGGGAATGCAGTGGAGGATGGCCCAAGTGCTTGGGCCCTGCACCCTCATGGGAGACCAGGAGAAGCACCTGGCTCCTGGCTTCGGATCAGCGCAGTGCGTTGGCTGCAGCAGCCATGGGGGGGGTGAACCAACGGCAAAGGAAGACCTTTCTCTCTGTCTCTCTCTCTCACTGTCCACTCTTCCTGTCAAAAAAAAAAAAAAAAAAAAAGATTACACTTCCAAGTTTATGCAAGTTGTTGGCTAAATTGTTTCTTGTGTTTTTAAGATCAAGATTAACTTTCCTTTAACATGTGTTCCCTTCATCTTCCAGCCAACAATGACATGTTGAATCCTATTTGCAATTTTATCTCTGACTTTATCTTCAATCTTTTCAGGGCTCTGATGATTGCATTAGCCTCAGTAAAATAATCTGGGATAATCTCTATATTTTAAAGTCATGTGATTAATAACCTTAATTACATCTGGAAATTCCCCTCCACTATGTAATGTAACATGCTAATGCAAATAACACTGTTAGTATAGACAGACAGCTAGACTTGAATGTGGCCCAGATGTCCCAGAAAATATCAAGGATTTTGCACATCAATAATGTAGAAATTAAAGGAATGGAAAATGTCACAGAAAAGGCAGCCATATTGTCAGATACATCATTACCTTAATAAAACCTAGGCTCATTTTATCATTAGCATTGTGGTTTCAGTTACAACCTACCTCCCAAACAACCATAACAGATCCAAAAGGACCTTATTGGAAAGAAAATGGCAGTATCTCTATTCCAGGAAAATCTTGCGTTATCAGAACTCTCCTCCCCATCTCATAGATATTCCTGCCCCATCAGTACAGAGAACAGAAAAGTTCCTCTGGGCAGATTCTCTTTCCCACCCGAGAGACTCTCCCTATCTTAAGAGGGTACTTTGATTTATAAGAAAGTCTGCTTGCTTGCCCAATTCAGCCCTGATGTGTCATAGTATACTTTTTTGCAGCAGCATTAAGAACATGGACACACTTTAGGGTAACCTCTTTCTTGGAGAACCAGCTAGGAACTGGGGAGCCAGGGAGTGACAGCCTCTCACCTCGCTTGTGTTGGAGCAGCTTCTCTGCCAGGCACTTTAACCTCTGTTGTCTCTCTTCTTGGAAGGCTGCAATGTTGCTCCAGATTGAGTAACACGGTTCCCCTAGTCTCAGGGTGATGTTATGCTTCCTCTCGTTTGTACAGATTCAAGTGGTTCCAATTTCAAGCTGATGGTTGTCTCGGAGGAACTGGCAGAATTTACAACCTGTGCAAAGTAGGAAGTTAATAAAGTTTACTTTAATTTTCCCTCTATTGCACTACCATGTCTAGCATACACTTTCTGTCAAAATCAATATTTTTCAACTCTTCTCACTTGGAAATGGGGTCCTAATCTTTGTTCACTTTCCTGTCACTTGTCATGCCAATAGCATTGCAATGAACTCTATCTTTGTTGCATCTCCCTTATGGGACCCACTAATTTGTTCAGAACACAAATTATCCCAAACAGAATAGTTTTGCCTTTGAGTTTGTTTGTTTTATCATTTCCTGAAATGTCACACCACCTATTCTTGTTCACCCCATTGGGGCATAATCCTTGGTACTACCTGGTATAAACATAAATTAGGGGGAACCAAGATGGCAGAATAGTGGCAGGACTATCCAAATCACATTGGGCAAAATTAATAATTAAGGAGGAGATAAGATATATGCCTGAGATAAGGCTGTGGGAAATTTGCAGCAGAAAACCCAGGAGAGCAGCAGAGGCTGGACAGGTCCATACCAAGAGAGCGAATGTGAAGGGGAAAAAGTGGTGGCTCGGATGAGGGAGTTTGGCACCAGCTCACCATGGATCAGGTGTGACAGGAATTTGTGGGTCCATGGAGCTTTGGATAGCAATAGGAGGGAGAGCTTGGCAAACTGCTTTTGAAGTTCCACATGGGAAAAAGGAGGGGGTAAATATTGAACAGGTGGAGAGGTTGGGCATTGCCCTGCCCACCTCTCTCCTCCCCCAACATGGACTTGCAGCTGGTGGGAGAAGCCATCTTGCCCCATTGTTTGTTTACACAAGTAGGGGCCTGCCACTGTTACCTCTGTGCACATGCCCATCAATTGTGGGGGTCATCCCATCTCCTCCCCCACCCAAGAATGAGGGCCACAACAATCCAGAAGAATTTCCTCCCCACCATGCAGGCTGAGCAGCCAGGGGAAGCTCTATCTATTGGAAGCTCAAAACTGCTCCCACCAACACTGATAAGTGAGCTGGGCACCAGTAAGCAGGGCTCCATCCAAGCATGTACCCACCCACACTACGATTGAGAAGTGATCTGGGATTCAGTAGGCAGGGCTCAGTGCACTTGAGCTCATACCCACACACACTAGCACTAAGAAGTGAGCTGGGCTCCAGCAAGCAGGGTTCTGCACCAGTGATTGCAATGCAAAGCTCCTAACAAAGGAAACTGTGCCCACAGGAAAGTCACCTCAGAAAAGCGACCAGACAAAAAAATACATAAATGCCAAAAGGCAAGGGAAGAATGCTAAATAAGAACAATGAAGACACAATGGGTCCCCCAAGGGAACACTACAACATTTCAATAGTAGAAGGGGAAGATGAAGAAGAGATAGAGGATATGCCAGAAGTGGAATTCAGAAAATTAATCATCAAAATATTTACAAGCAATCAGAAGCAAATCCATGAACTAAATGAAAAGTTTTCCCATGAAATTGTGAAGTCAGAATGAAATACTAGAAATGAAGAATTCAATAGATCAAATAAGAAATGCAGTGGACAGCCATAACAACAGAATACGTGAGACAGAAGAAAGAATATCAGAACTAGAAGACAAACTGCTGGAAATTTTATAGTCAGACCAAAGAAAAGATGAAGAAATTAGAAAATTAAAAAACACTATTGGAGATCTACAAGATACTATCAAATGACCCAACATAAAGGTCCTAGGAGTTCCTGAAGGCATGGAAAAAGAGAAAGGATTAGAAGGCCTTCTTAATGAAATAATAACAGAAAACTTCCCTAATTTGGAGAAAGAAAGAGACATCCAGAACTCCCAATAGACAAGACCAGAAAAAACTTCAAAGTAACACATTGTAGTAAAGCTATCCACAGTAAAACATAAAGAAAAGATTCTAAAATGTGCATGAGAGAAACACCACAACTGACAACTGCATTCAAAGGAACCCCAACTAGACTCACTGTGGACTTCTCATCAGAAACCCTAAAGGCAAGGAGAGAATAGCGAGGTACTTTCCAAGTCCTAAGAAAAAATTGTCAATCCAGAATACTGTGCCCTGCAAAGCTCTCATTTATGAATGAAGGTGAAATAAAGATCTTCCATAACAAACAGAAATTGAAAGAATTTGTAACTTCTCACTCAGCCCTACAAAAGATGCTCAGGGATGTGCTACACACAGAAACACAGAAACAGGAACATCGCTATGAAATATGGTAAAGAGAGAAAATTGCAGAGTAAAAGTACAAAGGAAATCCAAAGTAAAAAACAGGAATATTATGGGAAAATGGCAGAGTGAACTTGTTACTTATCAACTCTCCAGTTAAAAGACACAGACTGGCTGAATGGATTTAAAAAAAAAACCAAACATCCATTTGCTGCCTACAAGAAACACATCCCACCAACAAAAAGGCACACAGAATGAAAATGAAAGGATGGAAAAAGATACTCCATGCTAACAGAAACCAAAAAAAGAGCTGGTATAGCCATCATAATATCAGACAAAATAAGCATTAACACAAAAACTGTTAAAAGAGACAAAGAAGGGCACTGTGTAATGATTAAGGGATCAATTCAACAGGAAGATGTAACTATTATAAACATATATGCCCAAATTATAGGGCATCTGGCTATTTAAAAGAAATGCTGAGAGAGGCCGGCACTGTGGTGTAGCAGCTAAAGCTGCCGCCTGAGGTGCCAGCATCCCATATGGGCATCAGTTCAAGTCTCAGCTGCTCCACTACTGATCCAGCTCTCTGCTATAGCCTGGGAAAGCAGTGGAAGATGGCCCAAGTCCTTGGGCCACTGCACCCATGTGGGGGACCCGGATGAAGCTCCTGGCTCCTGGCTTCAGATCAGTGCAGCTCAAGCCGTTGCAGCCAATTGGGGAGTGAACCAGCAGATGGAAGTCCTTTTATTCTCAACCTCTCCTTCTCTTTTTAACTCCAATGTTCAAATAAATAAAATAAATCTCTTAAAAAAAGAAATTCTGAGGGACCTAAAGGGAGACATAGATTCAAATACAAATACAGTAGTAATGGGGGACTTCAATATCCCCTTCAGCAATGAAGAGATCAACCAGGCAGAATCAGCAAGGAAACAGCAGAGTTAATTGACACTATAGACCAATGGACCTAATGTATATCTACAGAACTTTTCATCCTACAGTTGCAGGATACACATTCTTCTCACCAGTGCATGGAACTTTCTCTAAGATTCATCAAATATTAGACCATAAAGCAAGTCTCAGCAAATTCAAAAGAATTAGAATCATACCATGCATCTTCTTGGACCACAATGAAGTGAAGCTGGTAATCAACAACTCAGGAATCCCTAGAACATATGCAAACACATGGAGACTGAACAACATGCTCCTGAATGAACAGTGGGTCATTGAACAAATCAAAAAATTTATGGAAACAAATGAAGATGACAGTACAACATATCAAACTTATGGGATACAGCAAAAGCAGTGTTAAGAGGAAAGTTTACAGCAATTGGTGCCTACATCAAGAAACTGGAAAGACACCAAATAAATAAGCTATCAATGCATCTCAAGGATCTAGAAAAACAACAGCAAACCAAACCCAAAATTAGTAGGAGAAAAGAAATAATTAAAATTAGAGAAGAAATCAACACAATTGAAACAAAAAAAAATACAAAAGATTGGCAAACCAAAATGCTGGTTTTTTGAAAAAATAAACAAAATTGACACACAATTGGCCCAACTAACTAAAAACAGAGAGATATCCAAATTAGTAAAATCAGAAATTGAATAGGAAATGTAACAACAGACACCATAGCAATAAAACAAATCATCAAAATTACTATAAAGAGATGTACACCATCAAAATGGGAAACATAGAAAAAATGGATAGATTCCTTGACACATATGACCTACCTAAATTGAACCAGAAAATCACACAAAATCTAAACAGACCAATAACCAAGACAGAAATTGATTCAGTAATAAAGTCCCTCCCAACAAAGAAAAGCCCAGAACTGGATGGCTTCACAGCTGAATTCTACCAGATATTTAAAGAACAAATAACTCCAATTCTTCTCAAGTTATTCAAAACATTTGAAAGGGAGAGATTCCTCCCAAATTCTTTCTATGAAGCCAGCATCACCTTAATTCCTAAACCTGCAAAAGATACAACAGAGAAAGAGAACTACAGAGCAATTTCCATGATGAACACAAATGCAAAAATCCTCAACAAAATTTTAGCCAATGGAATCCAACAACACATCACAAAGATCATTCACTTGGACCAAGTGGGATTTATCTCTGGTATGCAGGGATAGCTCAACATTCACAAATCAATGTGATACATCACATTAACAAACCAAAGAACAAAAACCATGGTTGTATCTCAATAGATGCAGAGATGCATTTGACAAAATACAACACCCCTTCATGATGAAAACCTTAAGCAAATTGGGAATATAAGGAACATTTCTCAACACAATCAAAGCAATATATAACAAATCCACGGGCAGTGTCCTATAGAACGAGGAAAAGTTGGAAGCATTCCCACTAAGATTTGGATCCAGACAAATGTGCCCACATTCACCACTACTTTTCAATATATCCTGGAACTGGATTTCCACATGCAGAAGTATGAAGCAAGACCCCTACCTTACACCTTATATAAAAATTCACTCAACATGGATTAAAGACCTAAATCTATGATTTGATGCCATCAATTATTAAAGAACATTGGGGAAATCTTGCAAGACATTGGCACAGGCAAAGAGTTCTTGGAAAAGACTCCAGAGGCACAGGCAATCAAAGCCAAAATTGACAAATGGGATTATATCAAATTGAGAAGCTTCGGTTGTGCAAAAGAAACACTTAGGAAAGTGAAGAGACAACCAACAGAATGGGAGAAATTATTTGCAAACTATGCAACTGATAAAAGATTAATAACCAGAATATATAAAGAGAGAAAGTAACTCCAAACAACAAAACAACCAACCTAGTGAAGAATTGGGCAAAGTACTTAAACAGACATTTTTC